TTTTTTTTTTTAAACTGCTTTGCCTTGGAGTAAGGAGAGAGTAAATCAACCTTTGTCCCTTGGGTCCCAGTGGTAGGAGCTCTCTGTTTCTATACCCATCTCCTAGCTCCCTCCAACCGTATATGTTTTTATAGAGCAATATTATACCCCCTGCCCTGAAGTCATGTTTATGCTCTAACCTAAACAAGGCAGGAACTATAGTAAGTTCTTTGTAACTGTGGAACCAACATCCATGGTCTCACTTATCAGTGCTCTGGGGAAAAATAGTCTCTTTAAGAATTTGCTACATTCACTAGGGGATTCCATGGTAAGCTTCTCCTAGAACTGGAGGACATGAAGGACCTTTAGGTCCTTCAATGAAACTTTTTGGTATGCTGGGACCACAGAGTTGTATGGTGTTGGGACATATCTACCTTCTTCAGGGAACCAAAATCCAGCTGGGAATGCATCTGCCTTGGAGTCCATAGCATTAAGCCATAGAACTTAAAGTGGTGTGAACAAAGCCCTGAATTGTTTGGGACCTTCCTACAGTGACCGCATCTCTGTGTATGAACCCACACGATCCCTTCGATCATCTTGAGAGGCCCTGCTCGCGCTCCCACCTCTATCGCAGGCTGACACAAAATGTAGGGGACGAGGGAGAGGGCTTTCTCGGTGGTGGCCCCTCAACTCTGGAACTCACTCCCCAAGGACATCAGGCATGCCCCAATTGTGGCAGTCTTTAGGAGGAGCCTGAAAACGTGGTTGTTCCAGTGTGGCTTCCCAAAATAAGGAAACTCCCAGCAATATGTCCTTGAAATGCACTTTACTATTGATCTAGGAATGTCTGCACGCCCCATCCCTGTCTGAAAACTCTATCCTAGTTCATATCTCATCTGTTCATGCTCAGCATTATTCTTAAATTTTAATTATTACATTTGGCCCAGTCATAGGTTCTAAACATCGTTGTGTTACTGCTATTGTTTATTTTTGTATGAGCTTTATTTTATTGCCTGTATTAATTGTTGTGATTGCTTTATCATTGATGTATTGTGGGCTCGGCCTCATGTAAGCCGCACCGAGTCCCTTGGGAGACGGTAGCGGGGTATAAATAAAGATTATTATTATTATTATTATTATTATTATTATTATTATTATTATTAAGCTGTATTAATTCTACAGTGTAGAGACTCTCTTAGAAAGTGGAAAAGACACTTCTAGCAGGTGTAGTTGTGCTGCTTGAGGTCTGTCAGCTGACCAGCCTGGAATTTTCCATTCCTTCCTTTTCCAGAAACAAGACTCCTTTGGGAGACCAAGCCCATGAGCAAAGCATTGTAGCGGACAGCGGAGGCATTGCTTTGGGGCTGCTGAACCAAATGAACGTGGATGCTCTTCTCCCCGAACCACAGGAAGCCAACAAAGACTGTGACAAGGAAGCAATATCTTCGTAGCACATCATTAGCTAGAGGAACTGACACTTCTGGATGTTAGTCACAAAAATAAAAAAGCAAAAAAATAGAAGCCTGGTAAAATGAAACTAATTGAAGATGACATGCAATAACAGGATGATGTTCAATTGAAATTAAATGCCACTGCGTGACATTTAATTTATTTCTGGTTGTTAGAGTAGGGGAAATTGCCAATACTGACCTTATTGTCTGGCGTATGACATGGAATAAAACACTTGCATGATGTCACGTCTGGCAGCCAGTCCTGGGCATGTGTGGGAGGACAGCAAGGGACTTAAAGACGAAAAGAGCTGCGGATTCTGTATCCCGGCAGATGTGAGGAAATCCAAATGGAAAGATCCAGGCAAACTCCATTCACAATGTTGCCTCTCTCTCCCATCCTATCATTTGTACTTGGTATACTTCCTGCCTGTTGCTCTTATTCTCTTTGCTTATTTAATACATGTCGTTTCTCTCTCATGCATACCTACACACACAATTTATATGTACTAGGCTTTCTCTCAGGGTGCCACCAGTGATTCCCAAACTTTTTTTAGACCAGGGACCACTCTCCGACATTAATGCCAGATCAGTTTTTGGTTAATTTTAGATTCGATTTGGTTATTTGGGTGCTGATTCAGAAAATTGCATTGGATAGACCACAGCAGTGGTTTCTGGTACAGAACATATGCCATCAAGTACTCGCCATCTGCTCACTCACAGAAAACCATATTTAATAAGCCTCGGCACTATAAGGTTTCACAAGACCTGTTGTTCTCATTGCAAAGGTGTAGTAATGGCGAGGCCGCGGACCATATTTTAGTTCTTACGGACCACTGGTGGTCCATGAACCACAGGTTGGGAACCACTAATCTACACTGTAGAATGACTGCAGTTTGACACTACTTGAACTAACATGACTCAATCCTATGGAATCACGGAAGTTGTAGTTTTACGAAGTCTGTAGATGTCTCGATGCTGGTGCCTCACCAACTACAAATTCTAGAATTCCATAATATTGAGCTATGACACTTAAAGTGGTGTCAAACTGTATTAGTTCTGAAGTGTAGATGTAGACGCACCCTCGCTCTCATATACATACATCCCACTCATTTGCACTATACATTCCCTCTTTTACTTTCTTTGTTGTTTGTTGTTCATTCATTCAGTCATTTCCGACTCTTTGTGACCCAATGGACCAGCCCACACCAGAACTCCCTGTCAGCCATCACCTCCCCCAGCTCCTTCAGAGTCAAGCCAGTAACTTCAAGGATGTCATCCATCCATCTTGCCCTTGGTCGGCCCCTTCTTTTTTCCTTGGTCGGCCCCTCTTCCTTTTTCCTTCCATTTTCCCCAGCATAATTGTCTTCTCAAGCTTTCCTGTCTCCTCATCATGTCGCCAAAGTACTTCACTTTGTCTCTAATATCCTTCCCTCCAATGAGCAGTCGGGCTTTATTTCCTGAACTATGGACTGGTTGGATCTTCTCGCTGTCCAAGGCACTCTCAGAACTTTCCTCCAGTACCACAGTTCAAAAGCATATGTTCTGTATTAGGAACTAGAGCTGATGTGGTCTAGCCAATGCAATTTTCTGAATCAACACCTCAAATAATCAAACCAAATGTTAAGTTGACAAAAAACTGATTCATAAGCCTTTTGGTACTAATGTTGGAGAGTGGTCCCTGGTCAAAGTGGTTGCTGGTCAAGTGGTCAAGTGATCCCTGGTCAAAAAAAGGTTGGGAACCACTGAACTACAGGAAAATAAAACCAAAGATATTATCGGGCATTGCCGATTGCTATACTGGCTTCCCACAACAATCTTAACACAACACACTTGAGGGAGAATATAAAAGAAAGTAGTAAGGCAGATCAGCTCTCTGGTAGCTGCAGCAAACATGTCGATCTAATGTSCAATCGGGAATCTGCTTCTTAAAGAAATGCTGGCATTTTGTAATACCTTTAATAGGGCAGCCTCATGTAACAATGGCTTCTTGGTGACGCCYCCCCCCCGCCCCCGGGTTGTCCCACTCTATTCTGATGRGGATTGTTGCCATTATGAACCAGTTGTAAAAGAATTAATTCATACAATCAATAAGTGCTACATTTGACCCTTGGTGTTGCTTAGTATATATCTGTGATCATAGAATTATGATTTTAATGATGTTCTTGTATCCTGCTGTGTTTTAGACGAGTTGTTAGCTATTCTGGGAACTATACAAGGAAAGGTGGGAAATAGAACTTGACTGACATTACTTTGGAACTGTCAAAATATATTCCTGGTTTGAGAGCAGCTATCCTTGGTGCTAGAATAAGGACCGGGGTGTAACTTGGAGGGCACAAAATGAGAGCAGCCCCTCCAAAACAATTTTGCCCACCCACGTTAAATTTTCCTTTAGTGGCAAAAAAATGAAGCATTGGAAATTACTCATAAAATGAATTTATTTATTTTTATTTACCATATTTATACCCTGCCCTTCTCACCTCAGAGGGGACTCAAGGCAGCCTTACAACAGGCAGCAATTTGATGCCATACACACATATATTAAAAATAAACAATTACAATTAAAACCAAATAATTAAAACATCTATTATTAAACATCAATTAAAATCATGCCATCCAAATCATAATCCAAGGCTGTTCCATTTGTCAATCACATTGATTCATGATCACTTACTGCACTACGCCAATTACTTGTCAAAGGCTTGGTCCCAAAGCCATGTCTTCAGTTTTTTTTCCTGAAGGTCAGAAGAGAAAGGGCTGATCTGATTTCATTGGGGAGGGAGTTCCATAGATGAGGAGCCACCACTGAGAAGGCCCTGTCTCTCACCCACACCAGTCCTGCCTGTGAAGGAGGTGGGACTGAGAGCACGGCCTCCCTGGATGATCTTAACCTCCGAGATGGTTCATAGAGGGAGATACATTCGGACAGGTAAGCTGGGCTGGAACCATCTAGATTTTTATAGGATAAAGCCAGCAGTTTGAATTGTGCTTGGTAGCAGACTGGCAACCAGTGGAGCTGGCGTAACAGTCGGGTTGTGTGCTCCCTTTACCTCACTCTGCTGAGCAATCTGGCTGCTGCCCATTGGACCACTTGAAGCTTCTGAACAGTCTTCAAAGGCAATCCTACATAGAGTGTGCTGCAGTAGTCTATTTGGGATTTAATCAATGCATGGACAACCATAGCCAAGTCTGGAAGGGATCCTAAGGGCCATCCAGTTTAATCCCATTCTGCCATTCAGGAACACACAATCAGAGCGCCCCTGACAGATGGCTATCCATCCTCTGCTTAAAACCCCCCAGAGGAGACTCTACCACACTCTGAGGCAAAATATTCATCTCCCAAACTGCTCTTACCATCAGGAAGATCTTCCTATTGTTCTACCTCTTGTCATTAGCTGCATAAGCTAGCACTAAAAACAAAAAGCACTCAGAGAGATGCAGTTGTTCACTCCAGTTCTGGAAGAAAAACATTGGATGCAGGAAAGCATCTCTGGGCAATATCTACTTTTAATTTAGAGCAACAAATGTTAGTATCTTCTATGGGCTGGAGTTTAACTGCGGGCAGGAGTTGGAAAACCCTTTGCATATATTCATTTCCAACCTCATTCCTGAAAACATCAAAGGTCATTTAGTCAACCAGTAAGACCATTTACGTTAAACATTCTCCCATCCCAGCACACTGCCATCAACTTTTAGTTCCATACACCTTTCTCACCAGCTTCAGTCACTGTGGTTTTGTTGACCTTGTCCTTCATCCAGATCTAACCGAAAAGGATTTTTTGGCTCTGCACCCACTGGTCCTGAGGGGCAGATGTTTAACCTAGATTTCAAAGTCCTTGAACCCAATGGCTTTTAAAAGTGCCAGATCTTCTCCTTTCATGTAACACAAGGTCTGGAAGGATTCCCTCCTCCAGTAGCTCTCTGGCCCTATGAGCAAGCAAGAACACTGGCAAAGATGAACTTTGAAGATCTCCTACAAGAAGTAGGTGGTTTTGGCAAATTCCAGGTCCTAACGTTGCTCCTTCTCTGCTTTCCAAGACTCTTATTGCCCCTGCATTTCCTTCTGCACAACTTTCTGGCGGCCATCCCACGTCATCACTGTGACATCACATATGATGACCGACTGGCCAACCTCACCAAGGAAGAAGCGTGGCTTATTAGCATCCCAAGAGATGCTGAAGATGTCTTCAGCTCCTGCAAGATGTTCTCAGAACCTCAGTTTCATTTACTGGTTAACTCTACCCAGGAAGCATCTAACACCACAATGAACATCACCGCTGTACAGAACTGCCAACATGGATGGATCTATGATCAATCCCAGTTCACGTCTACTATAGCCACCCAGGTAATGTTCCATGTTCCTTTTATTTGTGATGTTTGTACCTCTCCATTAGTCCTTCCAAATGGAACAAATATTCTCAAGGAGCATGGTATAAAAATTCCAAAAATAGAGAGAGTAGAACAAAGAGCAATGGATTCAAATTACAGGAAATGTTAAAAAAAACTTCCTGATGGCAAGAGCTGCTCGCTAGTAGACTATGCTGCCTTGGAATGTGGTGGAGTCTCATTCTTTGGATGTTTTCAAGCAGGAAAACCATCTGGCCATCTATAGGTGGTGCTTTTATTGTGTTCTATTGCATGACGGGATTGAACTGGATGGTCCTTGTGGTCTCTTCCAACTCTATGATTTGAATGGGTCAGATGGTCAGATGATTTCCAATACAGGATGTCCTACTAAGACCCATAGGTAGATGTGAACAGCTTAATACTTCACAAAATAAATGGCAATGTATGGAAATAACCCTCTTGATAGAATATGGGTGTATCTACACTGTAGAATTAATGCAGTTTGACACCACTTTAACTACCTTGGTTCAATGCTATGATATCCTGGCAGCTGTAGCTGACAGGTGACCTACTCAAACACACATACATATGATTCTGGGACCAAGAATTTTACAAAGCTTGGTGAGATTGAGGAATTGCTTTCTGCTTGAGGAGTATTTGTACAGAGATGCAGAATAATAATAATAGTGAAGATGACTCACTAAAAGATGTGGTATGGAGATGATCAGAGATTGAAAACAGGATGGCCAGTCAGGCTGGAAGGAAACAGAGTGACAAAACAAAGATGGAACACAGTGGGATATAAGGACCCACGTCATAACAGGAAAGGAGAGTGGTGTGTGACTGAAGATTTCTAATTTACCTTCAAGTCCCTCCAAACATCTCAGTGCTATTGCTCATCTGCATCTATCTTCTTCTGTATATGAATCTCCTTGGAACCTTTGTTCCAAGGAGACTGCCTTTGAGATAAGATTGAAAGCCTATGTAGTTCAATTAAGCAGCTGAGGGGGGAAAGGAAAGGGCCCGAGGCTGTTAGGAATTGTGGGAGTTGGGGTCCAAAATGCCTCGAGGGCCCAAGTTGCCCATGCCTGCTATAGAATGAATGCAATTTGAGACTACTTCAATTGCCATGGCTCAATGCTGTTGAATTATGGGAGTTCTCATCTGGCAAGGCAACAGCTTTGGAAGAAAAGACAAAGGATATTGTAAAACTACAACTGTCACAATTCCATAGGATGTAACCATGGCATGGCAGTTCAAGTGGTGTCAAACTGCATTAATTGCACTGTGTAGGTGCACCCTTCGGTGTTTTGTGTGCCTGACAAGTCTTTCTGTCTTCCCTCTTTCTCTGCACACACAAATACAAACAGCTCAAGGACCATAATCAGGTCACAACCTTCTGAGAAGTTGGATGAGGTCTGGGGTGGGATAACACTAAATTAATGCCAGGCATGTTCAGAGGAAGTGTATTTCATATATAACCAGGACCATTGCCTTATGTAAATTAGACAGATAGGTCAATCAATGATTCTCTTGAATTTGTTATTGTTAAAGACACACAAGCTCTTTAACTGGCATCAACACGGCAGGCAAGCTAAGAGGTTATGTAATAGTCACAAAATGGAAGTATATTTCAGAGAGTTATTTCAAATCCTGGTTTTATTGTGAGAGGATTTTCCCCAAGTTTCCCTGAAATTTTGGCTTGCACTACAAGAGGGAAGTCTTCATGAGCTCCAGCTGTTTTGGTTTGGCAGACATCCCCCACTTTAATCCTCTGCTGTCCCCCTTATACAAAATATATAATATTTTAAATGCTTTTACGATTTCCCAGTTTCTCTACCATCTTCCCAGATAGAGAAATTCAGAAACACCTTGGAGGTAAATTGGAAAAATATAAAGGGTAGTATAAACTCTTGTGGGTTACTGTTTGCTCCATCAGAAGCAAGATGTCCATCTTTAATGAATCAAGAATGTGATAAAGCACCCAAAATACCCAATCCAATTCTGGGATTCTTCAGAAGGACTATAGTGTCTGTATTCTGAATGTATCGGACCCCAGCCAGAAATACCATCCCTGGTTCTGGGAACTACAGTTCAAGGAGGATATGGAATGTACATTGAAAAGAGTGACCTAGATGCTCAAAGATCTGGAAACCAAGCTCTATGAGGAATGACTTAAAGCTATATATATTTATCTTGGAGGAGAGAAGACTTAGAGATGACAGGGTAACCATGTTTTAATATCTGAAGAGATGGTGCATGTTGAAGATGGATCCAGTTTGTTTTTTTCTGCTCCAGAGACTAGAACATGAATCAATGGATGCAAATTCCAAGAAAAGATTCGGGAGAACTTCCAAATTGTAAGCACTGTAAGAAAGTGGAAAAGATTTGCTTTGAAGGGTGATGGACTTTTGATGGATAGTCTTTAAATAGAGGTTGTCTGGGCATCTTTTAGGGTTGTGTCAGGATCCAGTGCTGTGCCAGTATGCAGGTAGAGGTGAATCAAAAGCAACACCCAGCTTGTCTCAAAAACTATTTTACTTAAAGCAGCACTTACTCATTTGGCTGTTTTCAAGGTCCAAGTTCAAAACATAAAGATAGCACACAGCCATGGATGCAAAGCAAAACTTATAACAAGGAACGTACTACAAACACCAGTTCAGGAGAAAGTACACTGCAATCATGGTTGTAGTTCAGGAATCAAATGCTGAGCATTTACTGATTAATGTCCAAGATTCAAGAGACCAAAGCATCGTTGTTCCAAAGGTCAAGCCAGAGAGTCCAGAGCCCAAGGGTGATCCAAAGACATAGTCAATACTTAGAGATTCAAGGTACATCAATGTTCACAACAGTATACAAGAGCAACAGGGTTCACCTCATGGTCCTTTCCATGTCTTTGATTCTATGAATTTTTGTTTCAGTGGGACTTGGTTTGTGAACAAAGAGGACTGAACCAAGCAACTGCTACTTTCTTCTTCATTGGTGTCATGTTTGGTGCTGTGATCTTTGGCTACCTCTCAGATAGGTAACTGGATTCTATTATTTTCTATTATCTTTTCTCCACAGGAAGTTTTCCCCGTCCTCTCCTTCTAAAACTAGGACAAGAAACTTGTGTGTGTGTGTGTGTGGGGGGGGGGGGGGGCATTAACCCCTTGGAGACCTTGGAGATGCATTATTCCCTTAGGAGACCTTGGAGAAACACTGCATTGTTTACAAAAATACCTCTGCTCCCCATTCTCTCTCAGAAGCATGGGGACATTTCAACCATCATGTAAGATCATCCTTGGCCATTTGTAGGTCCAGGAGAAGCCTTTTTAGCAACAGAAAGTGAACAAGGTCACTTATTTTTAATGTTCTGCTTTTCAAAAAATACCTCTCCTGGAACTAAAATAGTCCAGGAGAGTAAATAAGTGGTGGAAATACTCTCCACATCTTTAGACAATGTCCACAATCCCATGGCCAGTGTGTCTACCAACCATGTTAGCTGGTGAATCATGGAAGCTGTGGCTTAAAAAGGCAATTTTCTATGCTCTTGGACTCCCTTTTCCAGCCAACACACTGGACTAGTTGGCTTGCTCAAAATAACAACACAGATGAAACACTACAGTAAACATAGGAAAAAAACCCACTAACAAATGGGTAGGAGCCCTGAAATAAATCCATGTATGTATGTATGTATATGCATGGATACTGTTCCGTAGATGCAAGTTTCTAATATTAAGCACGGCTTCTTCTCATAGAGATCTTCCATACTTGTTTGGGGTCAAAAGGGTAAATGCCAGTCAACATTCTGAATTGGTCATTCTCATCACATATTGTAGAGATCAGATGAGAACAGCTGGCAACACCAAATGTGTTGTGTAAGTAACATTTTCTTTCTGGCTCGGCAGGTTTGGGCGAAAATCCATGCTCCTTGTGGCATATGTAGGCACTCTCCTCTTTGGCATGCTGAGTGCCATCTCCGTTACTTACAGTATGCTTGCAGTCACACGGACCCTGACAGGGGTGGCTATGTCTGGACTCTCCCTCATTGTACTACCTCTAGGTAAGCACAATGGTATTTCAAGACAGGCCTCTCAAGTACAGGGGGAGCCATCTTCCCCACTATGTACCTTCTGCAGAAGGTACATACTAGAGCAGAATATCTTCCACGAGTTCGGGAAGACTTCCTTTGCAAGATGTCTCTTGGAATCTAGTAAAGATCTGATCTTTGGCTGAAATTCAGTTGTTGACAATAATATGCATAATTTAGAATTAAGTGCACATGTGTCTCTTTTTAGATGTTCTGCAAGGAGCTATTCAGTAGCTCCTTGTGCAATTACCAACTCCTTGGAGGCCACAAATACGGTCATTTTACTGGCTATAAAAGGGTGAAAGAAAACAACTATGAATGCTTTGATGCAGCAGAGGGCCCATCCAGACAGACTCATATCCTGGGACTTGTCTTGGTTTTACCTGAAGTGTCCAAATGACGCCTAAATTAAAACCAATTAAATCCAGAGAAAACTGGAATTTCTTAATTTGCTCCGGATTAATAAAACACATGGAAAGATCTGGACTTTAAGCTAAGGTCCAGATCTTTTTTCAGGTGCACTGCCGGCAGGCCCCTCAGGTATGTTTTTGGGGGAAATGAGATGGGGTGGAAGTCGCTGGTTGACCTGGGAGGGCATGTAGCCACCTTCCCCCAGGGAAATTCTAGGGTTTGGGATTGATGTATGGATCTTAATCTAGGGAGGAACTGGGTTTAGGTAATCCAGTTCCTCCCAGGATTAAGGTCTGCCTAGAAGGGCCCACAGAATCACTCCTAGATCTGCAAACACCTGCTGGAGAACCAGAAAAAAAATCTCATTTCTGGGGGCATCATACTGTAGAATTAATACAGATTGACACCAGATTAATTGCCATGGCTCTATGCTATGGAATTATGTATTTTTAAGAAACACATTAAACTGTTAAAATGCTGATTCACTTCCAAAACAACTGTATTTTTGTGTTGTCATAACACCAGATTCAAGGTGGGTATGGATAGCCCCCCCCCCCCCCAAGTGTAGATAACTTATTCATCTACACATATACATACTTACTAAGTTCTGCTTCTACGTTCCAGGCTTAGAATGGGTGGATATACACCATCGTACCTTTTCTGGGGTCACAACTAGTATCTTCTGGAGTTTGGGAAATATGCTTCTTGCTCTGATTGCCTACTTTGTGCGGGACTGGCGTTGGCTGTTGTTTGCTGTCACTCTGCCTTGTTTTGTGGGTATCGCCTCTTTGTGGTGAGTGAAATTACCACTTCATGATTCTGTGTTACAGAGTGCAGAGAACCGTTGTAACTGTGAAGACATACACTGTTTGCCCTAAATTCTGGCCTTTTCATTCCAACAGGAGCAGAATTTGCATGGAATAAGTTATAGCAAATGTAGTAACCTGGAAGAAATGTAGACATATAAATCTTTAGCTATTACGTTTGAGTATGAATGATTGCATTCAAAAAGGCAATAATCGATGTCATGGCAGAAACAGTGAAGCGTACTTTTTTAGTTCTCCCATGATGGACTAAGCTCTTGCCTTTCACAATTCAGAGAATGAGATATTTCCTTTTTTTTTTTTTTT